AGTCTTTTCTTGTTTCATGCTTGTTAGTGATATACTATTTCAAGACTTATTTTAAATACGAATGTATTTTATGTAGGTACAAGTATTTTTTAAATAAAATGTAAAGAGCTCCTGGTAATATTATTATGTGTTTAGTGTTTTACTAACGATGTTGTTGGACACTAATCTTTCAGTTGAGTGAAATGTAACTGGAAATGTACAAGATATATACAATGAAATATTTTAGGACAATGATTTCTTAACATTAAAATAATGAAAATAAAAAGAGAAAATGTTCGAACTGCTAGTGCTATGCAATATTAATAACTCAGACTCATCTGTCCCAATTATATCTAATCGAGACTCTAATCTAACACTTTTTCCATTTCCAGCAATTACTCTTACTTCTACTTTCCATTTCTACTTTTAGATTTGTTATATTTAGGGTTCCGTACCCAAATCGTAAAACGGGAACCCTATTGCTAAGACTTCGCCTTCTGCCTGTCTGTCACCAGGCAGTATCTGATGAACCGTGAAAGTTATACAGTTGAAATTTTCACAGATAATGTACTTCTATTGATGCTTCAACAACAACTACTAACAAATATAATGAAATAATTATTTAAGAGGATTCTCCAACAACAAATGTGATTTTTTTGCTCATATTCGGTACGGAACTCTTCGTGCGCGGGTCCGACTCGCATTTGGCAGATTTTTTTCTTTCAATACTGTTTGGTAGGTACTGGTTTGGTAGGTATATATTTTTAACCTACCGTAATATGGTGTGGCGTAACACCAAATATAACATAAAAAATATAATTAATAAAAAGGAATATTTTTTTCCCAAAAGCCTCGCTACAAATAAAATGAAATATGATGTGTGTGATATTCCTTCAATATGCTGCGAACGTAGTCAAAGCTCCGTACATATCTGGACACAGACGTTTCACAACACTAAAGTTCACGTGGGGAACCAATATGTTTGTCGGTTACACTTTTTGCTGGAGTAATTTATTTTAAATATTACATGATATCAACATTGATGGGAAATACGTTGTGCATCCGTCAAAGATGAACTTTGACATCTAATAAATACGATAAACGAGAAAACACAAAATACATTTTATATTAAGGCACAGAAATCGAACACATACATCCAAGCCTAAAATATTTTTTCTTCAGTGTTCATATTCGAACTTTGATATTTAACATTTCATTAAAATAAATGAGAATATAGACATACTTTATTATTCTCAGAGTCAGTTCTCAAAGATGGCACTCTATATTTTATGTTTTAATAAGAAATAAAATAAAAAAATGTAATTATAAATATAATTGTTGCCTAACTATTAAATTGGGTCATTCATTATCTGTAAAAATTGATCAAATTTTGTATAAGGATAATTGTGAAAACAAAACTCTATTCAATTATAATTTCCTTTACTCGAGTTGGAAATTGAACATATTTCTTACAATTATCCAGTAAGTGAATTAATTAACTGCCATCTAAGCAACAGTAAAGTAGAAATAAATACCAATTACTACATAAAAAAATAAATATTTGAAACACTCTCATTAGAGGCTAGTAATAAACTTAACTACTTAATGATATACAATTCAGGAAACAGAAAATTCTAAATGAAATTAACTCGACTATAAACAACGAATTAATATCAATACGAGAGTCAGTTTTATTTTCAAATAACTGAATTGTACCAGTAAACAATTTAGTTAATTGAAAGTGATATATATAAATATAAATTCTCTACATCTATGGTGACTTAGGAGTGACATATGATAGTACCGTCCTTTAAATTAAATCGATAAAAAAATATTCAACTCGGTAAACAGTTATTGTTGGTTGATCTGCCCTGCGAAATCCAAACCCGAACTCGAATTCACTTAGATGTCTGTATTCACTTTAAAAAGCGGCATCCGTTCAATCTTGAATTGGTTTTGGAGCATAAGTGAAGTGAGTTTCGAAATGATACAGGAATAGAATATCTAAGATACGTATAATCAATCAATTTTTTTTAATTTTCACACAAAAATGGAGTCAATAGAATTCCATTAAATTACGTGAATTTGGACACCTGAGTGAATTCAGATTTGGGTTCAGATTTTTACAGAATCGCACTGCAGAAATCGCGCCACAAACCACACAATATAAATATGACATTATGCAAGAAGTTTTAAGAACACACAAACATAATATATGAGTGTCGTTTATGTGTATTGTAGTATTTATTTAATTTGTATATTATTTGCCTCTAATGAATGAAGTAGTATGAGTAGCACGGTGGCGTAGTATTTAAGCGCCGCGGCACGCCATTGTTGTCATTAAGCAACCTTCGCAAGGGTCAGTCACGGGATGGGTGACCAAAAATGTATTATCTCGAGCTACTCCGTGCTTCGGAAAGCACGTTAAGCCGTTGACCCCGGCTGTATTTGCAGCCGTCAATCCAACAAATCCGCATTAGGCCAGCGTAAAGGGTCATGGCTCATCCTCGTTAACCACCCATAAGGAAGGCCTGACCTCCTGCTGTGGGGACGAAATAAAGGGCTGATGATGTGAATGAATGAATGAAAGAAGTAAAAAAGAAAGGAAACACTATACCAATGAACGAATGAATAATGTAACTGACTTACCTCTATTTGTATACTGGCTGCTCTGTATGCTCTGTCAGCAGTATTTTGAGCTTGACACGTGAAAGTCTGATTGTGATGTTCCTTTTTAGGTGTCATTTCAATTATTGACCTGTGAAAAAAAAGTGCGAGTGAGTAAAAGATAAATCAGAGCACCCGCCATATATGTTTTTCTTGATAACTAAAGTAGAACTTGCTGCATACTACTGACTATACAATTGGAAACAATGGCTTATCTTGCCGCTTCATAGAACCTGTACGTTAATAAGATTCTCCTGTCCTTATTATATTGCAATTAATTAACTTTTGTTAAGCGAGTTGCAAACAACTTTGAGTTACGAAATTTTTGTTAATAATCCATCGATTTCAAACACACATCAAATAACCTTAGAAAGAAAAAGAAATACTAAAGTAGATCTTTACATTAGACCCATAGAAAGTTTCGAATTATCTACACTCAAAATGGTCGTTCGTTTATGTTATAATAAAAACCAATTTATTATATATTGCCGACGTAAATAGAACAGTATTACAAGAAATGGCTTTTAAAAAATAAACTTCATTACACAAAATACGATCAAACCTGTCACCGTACGTTACATTACCAATATTAAAAAGCATTATTTCTATATCGATATAGATTGTTTTTTTTACCTGGCGGTAAACCGTTGTCCATCGGCCAAAGGCTCCACGGAATACGTAACACCTTGTGTCAAAACACCAGCATTGCTGTCAACCCACGTAATCTAGAAAGAAAAGTTATGACGTTATTACTGGTGATAATATTACACTAAGAATAAGGCTACGGAATGAGTAGAAAGAGCGGAAAGCGGAGGAACACACTACAAACTAAACATATTTAGACTTATTATAAAATCAGGATTTACTTCAGTACCTTGTTAAATGACCAAAATAAGTTAACACGTCTCAATTTGACGTTTTCTCTTCTGTCATCATCAATATACTGTAACCGGCCAATATTTTGTACTGAGTGCTAATCTTAGTACCCTTTCTTCCTTCCTAACTTTCCACCCCCAGCTTTGCCCGCTTAGATAATATTACTTAAAAAACTGTCTATCCTTATCCTTAGTATTTCATTTTACTATTTACTTTCGAATGTGTCAACAAAATGCTTTCTTAGCAAACATCCGCATCATAATGAATATTTGTGTGACAATTTCCCGCTACCGCTATCACCCAAATCGCATTCTTACAACGTCATAGAGCCATTTAATTAAAAAGCATTGTAACTAAATTATGTGTTTTTTTAACATTTAAAACATGGACAATATAGTTTCTAAAACAATAGATATAATATTTCAATAGCTTTACTCTTTTCTATGGTAGCCCATGCCATAGACATGCTTATTTTTATAACTTGTACGTTCACCAAGATGATCTATTAATTTTCAGTTTCAGTTTTTCGTAAATAACTGTTCAAAATTTCTTGACACCTTGACACACGCCCTGGATAGGTAGTAATTAATCATATTAGACGATTCAAAAATGTTTTCATTAAAATTACATGCTCTTAATTCCAATCCTTTTCATATATATAACTGCTGCGTATATAAAAATTCTACTCATGATTTCACTATAATAATTTAATTATCATAAATGGAACTCGTTTGATTTAAAAAAGTTCCAATGAAGCAAAATACATACGTAAAGATGACACGAAGTAACAAACGATTAATACAAGATATTACGAAAGTATCAATCGTCGATCATCAAAATGGCGACCATTAGAAAATTATAAAAGATGTCAATAAAAAAGTATCAATATCATCCAATCGGACACAACGCCATCTAGAGCTCACAAAACAAATTAATCTAGTAAATTACCGGAGCGCGGTATATTCATTCGCCGTAATCTGGCAACCACAATTGTTACCGTACAGTATTCGCTGCACAATATAAAACGGACGTTGATGTGAACAGTGGCGTAAATCTCCGAGGATTTAAGCAAGCATTGTTCCCAAATATCCCGGAGACAAAGTGAGAAACTTGGAAGGAAACGCGATGAAACCTTTCCGTTTAATCCCTGCGTCTAAGTTTGCTTAATATTGTCATTGTCATTTTTAGCATTGTTCAAAATGTAGAACGGCAGCCGTTAATTAAATTTCGTAGTAGAGATTCTGTTGGTTCAATTTAAATTAAAACTGAATACAGGCTCAATCTGAAGCAAAGGAATTTGTATTAAATGTAAAAGACGTTGGTAACAAAAAAGAAATCAACATACCTACCCCACAAGCGTAAAGACGTACATATAAATAGATATTGTTACATAGGATTCACTAATTAATTCAACCAGTCCTCGTATTGCGTGTGATTTATTTAATATCTTGAAAAATAACAATTTAACAAAAGTTGGACAAGTTTTTGTTAAATTCTACTAATTAATTTTTGCAAGTAAAATTATTTTACTAAAGAAATATCCTGGAAAAAAATTGAATAATAATAGCTATTCAAAACTCTTGACTACCAATAGAGAGTAAAGCTAATTTATTATTAAAAAAAAAACATAGCTGTTTCTCATCGCATGCAAGCTGTAGAAATCAGTCATCAATTATAAATATATTTATGGAGGCAAAAGGCTAGTTTCTGTGACTATATGATCAAATTAGTATATATACTTATTAATCCAAATTGGTATCTTAGGTATCAATTTGGATTCGGACCACTTAATTTTCTTTTACATATAATTAAAATCGAAATTTGGTGTTGATCATCAACGTGTAATAACCGAAATAGTTGACACAGAAGCCGTAAAAGTGTAAAGCTAAAAAAAAAGAAAACAAGAAAATAGTAATCATCGACAATCCTCAAATTCTTTACCTCAGCCGGTGGTTTCCCGCCAACGGAGACACACTCCAATTTGATCATTCTGTCTTCGGTTGTAGAGTAGAAATTGCCCTCGAGGATTTTCGGCGGTTCCGGTGGCACGAGGACCGTGAGCCGGGCGTATCGTGACCTAATTGCCGGCTCACCTGTTCAAAAAGGGTTTTAATTTCAGTATAGTGCTGCTAGCTACTACGGTTAGGAGCGAAAGTTAATTAAATTGACCTTTTTTCTTCTGCCTATCCGCCATTTTGTCAATTAGACTGTCAAAATTATTGTTTTTAACTATTTATTTGTTATTTTCATTTTGCTACTATTTTATTGTTACGAGCAAAATTAGTGACAGAAAAGAAAGATTTTTTCCTACCAAATTTATATATCCTTTACAGAGTGACTTTTTGACATATTTAAGTTTTAACACAAAATAAAACCTAGTTTATTTATTGCTTATTTGCTATTCTATAAATTCCTATATAAAAAAATATAAAATGAAAAATAATTCCTATATGTTACCTAAGTTGAATACTAATTTAATAAACAAATAAGAATAATTGCAATACGATGTCTCATATACAAGAAATTACTTTGAAATTTATTAGTCAAATACTTATTTGCACTTAAGTTATTAGTAACAAGTTTAATAACTATTGTTAATTTTTTTTAAATTTGGTATTTTAAAGCTTACCTATAAACAAAAATACATATTCTTAGCACTTGCTCACGAGATTTTGAGCCTAAAAATTTATACATAACAAAGCTAGCATAAAAAAAAAATAAAAGAGAAAAATAAAAATCGCAATGTTAGTTACTATAACCCAAAAACATCAAATCGTTTGAATCTATTCATTTGTTATTCTTAAGATCTGAACTTTGCGGAGGGTAATTGTATTGTCAACAAATGTTCCCTACAAATTCCATTCATTAGTCATACCAAAGTCACTTTGTACATTCGTAAAGCAAATTAACGTATTCGACGTGCATCCTAGGGTGCATGTTGCATAGTTAACTGTGACGTCAGAACAAACGAATGACGTTTGAGGCAATCAAAGCTACAGGGAAGCTCAATTATCAAATCAAACCTAACGTTGACTCATGGATTGCAATACACAATTTCATATACCATATATGCTTTTATTGACCTGAGTTTATCGATATCATATGCGATAGTGTTCTTGAAATATCAACAATTGCCTTATCTATAGTTAATATTAAATATATAAGTAATAAAAATGAGAATTAGACCGCTTGATAAATAGACTCCTGACGCTGAAGGAATTTATAACCTTTTACAACTGATAGATTAGAGTTAAAAATATTTAAACTAATTACGGCTTTGTCATGTGCTTCGTAAGTATGCTTCGTGGGAATACTCTTAGATGAATAAACACTATTGTTTAAAAAACACTCTGGATTATTAACGCACAATATTCCACAACTCAATCAAACTCATTTTTATTTATAAGAAAAAAGATGGAAAATATAAAACAGACTTTAAAAAAAGACAAATAATATTCATCTTCGTGACTCAGTCACATTGGACCTCTACAAGCTCATTAAATTAGTCAAAAACAATGACCTATGAATGAAAGCGCACGCTCCACATGGATATCATCGACAAATTTAATTAAGGCATAAAGGATATTTATAATGTTCATGAAAAGTCTATGGAATTCGGGCAGAGATTTTTTGCGTGTTGTTAATAATAAAATAGAAAGCAGCAGTATCGAGCAGTTTTAATGTGAAGAGGTAACATCTAAAAAAAAATAAAATTAACCAAAATTCAATATTGAAGAATATAATTATTTAGTGTAGGTTAAGCAGTTCGTAAATCTATAAGAGACCCTTGAACTGGTACGAAACAAATGAAAGCTCATACAATGGAATTAACATTTGCTTAAAATCTAAAGAATATAAATTCCAACAGATTCGTATGGAGTTCCATAAAACTATTAAGATCCTCAGACCCGTCCCTTTAGGTGTTGATAATATATGTAAATTAATATAACTTAAAGGGATACAAAGACAATGAAAATCTCGAGAACCCTAGAGTAGTTTCTCTATACAGAAAACTTTTAGTTTCGAACCAAGTTTGAAAGTTAAATAGTCCTAAGTTTACAGTTTTGCCGCAAGCCAGTTGTCCATTGTGCTTTGAGTTTGATAAAAATAAAGTTTCTCCTACTTCCCGCTCCCCGGCATGTAAATCGTTAGTTTTTTCTTTGCTGTTGCGAGATAACTTTGTAGGTATGAACTCGAGTTAAAAATTAAATCCCATTCCTTTTTAACTCGGAAAGTGCGAATACAGCTGTGTTTTTCTTTGAATTTGTATGATCAATTTTAAATTTTAAAAAAGAATAGCATAGGAGTTTCCACGCTCAATTTAGTTTAATATTTTTAAATGGAGAAACAAAAATTTGCAGACGTTTTTCAATAACTTGTACATACTCGTATATACTGTAAATTTATTCGGTGTAATAATATATCAAATTCCAAAAATTTGCATAATGAAGCATATTTAGTTATGAAAATAAAATTTATCCAAGTTAAGCACATTTAGATTAATTCAAACATATTCCTTCCTTTAGATTTAGAATTCCGTATAATTATTTAACACCTGCTCACTTGTTAAGCATTAGTCGCACACCCTTTGCTCTTACTGCCGAAGATGATTTACATAATTATGTTAGAACAGTCTCTGTGCAAATAAAACGAGTTTGCAAAGGATCTCCGTATGTATTTTAGATGGAAAAGGAAGACCTTTTAATTAAAGACCTCAAATTCAACGTACCATACAAATAAAAGTTTAAAATAACAAGCAGAAATTAACTTTTTAATCTTTGAATCTGCAAAGCGGTGCGTTAAGTTAATTTAAAGCTAAAATGAGATCAAATTTACTTAATGGCTTAAAATATAACGATCAAAGAAAATTCTTAGGAGGGTAATGCTGATTACTTAAGAAACACAAAGTTAAACCTAAATCTTAGAACAAAAGCTGAATGGGCCCATAAGAGCCGAGCTAAGTTAAGATAAGAATATTCCAGTAGCAGTTTAGAGGCGAACAGAATTTATCAAAAGGTTATGTAGACGTTTATTTGAACAATGGACTATGTAAATTAATTATGGACCTTTTCGTTTTACATCTGAATAGAGACATTTGTGAGACCTTAAGGATCGAAAGGCCTCGAACAATTCTAAGGAGGTTTATTATAAATTCACACAATGTCCCATAATGTTATATTCTACAAATTAATTTTATTCGAAAAGCCAAATTGTTCGAGAACGAGAAACAAATCCTATTGATATGACTTGAATGGGAACTGTCTTTAGGGAGTTCAATACTCTCGAGATATCGCATAATTTCATATAAATAAAGAAACGTATGGCCGAAATATTTTAGATAGGAAAATCTTAAGCCGCTTTCAAAGGAACGAAGGAAGAACAAAACGAATAAAAATAAATTTATATTAATATCTTTAAAGAGGAATGGCGCAATTATAGATACTGTTTTAGATACTCTAAGAAATATTGAATAACACAAAGTGAAATTCGAATTGAAAGGTGGTAAGAAAAATGAAACAAAAGAGATTCGTGAAAGACTAAGAGCAAAATTAAAAACAAATTATGTTGCGATGCAGACAAAACTCTCCGTCCTATAGTGGCAGCAAAAAACGTGCAACAGAATAGAGTGGAGTTCTACTTGCCGGCAAAGAGATGAAATTTTTTCCATTACTTAAATGTAAATAACAATTCTTCAAAATGCCATTTAATCGAACTATTCGATTTTAATTTTAATATATATATTTTTGCTAACATACAATGTATGTTTTTGTCTCACGATTTGTGTAATACCACTGATATTATAGATATCTATGATATCATTGTGTTATAACAACACAATGTTTCAATATTCGATATAATAATGATGAGTGAATTATAATAACTATGTACATTGATTTTATCATATCCAATCTGTGGGAATCAACAATAATTTCATATAATTTATTTGAACAAGCGAAACGTACGAAATTATCTTGTAATAAATGAATTATATCCACTTCTCGATTCGCGTGATCATGTTGCGTTACGGCTATTAAATTACTGTTATCTCTAAAGACCAGTCTGTTGTTTTTTTTTTTTATTGACGAGAGATTGTGTTACAGTTTAAAAATAACATCCACTCGATATTGGTAAGGTTTCTTGGATGTTTTAGGACGTATCTCAATTTTTATGAAATAATGTATCAATATAGAAATTTTGTATTGTTATTGTATAAACTGTCGGGATGTTCCCAACACTAGTAAAATAAGCAATAAATAGCTGTCTAATGTTTCTGGAAGCTCTCTCTTTCGCTATACACCTTCCTAGACGTACGCGTCTTAGTTATGTTAACAAGATATAAATCTCTACATTATAAACCAGCGTTTAATTACAGGTCCTCCAACGGCGGTACATGGTCCTTATAGCTTGATTTAAACCGGCAATCTATACATATTTTTCTACTAAATTAGACTATGTCACATATTATCAACATATTGGGTAGGTGATAAATATAGGTATAAGAATTCTGCAGTAATAGGTTTCACAAAAAAAAAACTCAATAAATATTCGTAGTTTACATTTATTACTGATAACCCTATAATGGGTTTACGAACAACCTGTTTCAAGTCAATACCATCGACTGCGTTGATTTCTTATAAAAGAAATAGTTAAACATATATATCCCTAACTTGTGGAATTATGAGTTTTCGATTCAAAATTTACTTATAACATTAAAGGGCTTCGGTTTTTAAGCTTTAATATATCTATCCATTACATGTTAACAATTCGTTAAGACTTAAACGTAAAGTATGTTCATTCATACTAATTTACTTTTTCATTTATAATAAACATTTCGTGTAATTTTTCTTTGTTTTTCTTTTCTCAATCTAATTAATTACTCATCATACTAACCTCTAGGTCCAGAGCTGACTTGGCACTGATACTTGGCATCGTCATCCAGAGTCACGTCTCTAATGTCCAAAGAGTAATCCCCTGAAACAAATATGGCATCGTTAACCACAATTACCGTAGCCTTACCTACTGCCAAGTGCTTAGTATAATATGAATTAATGGTGGCACATTTCTCTTCTGTTAAATACATTTTTGCGTTGATCATTCTTATATATTAAATATTTATCGTGAAATCCAGATTCATTACTTTTATTATTTTGTCTCTAATTTTTATTGAGCCATTATACGATCTATCTGGCGTCAAATCAATCAGTAATCTTGATCAGATTGAAATGCATCACATATTTATTCGGAATATTTAACTTTTGTCATCAATTCGCAACTTTGATCTAATTATGATCCTGATTGATTTTCTTATGACCGGTACAGTGAAACGTCCAGGAAAAAGTTATATCCTAGTGCTGCCAGACATAACTTAGCATTGTCGGTAACTTTTACAGGCAAACCTATAAGCAATATAATCACTACATAGTATAAAACAAAGTCGCTTACTCTGTCCCCATATCCCTGTATGCTTAAATCTTTATAACTACGCAACGAATTTTGATGCGGTTTTTTTTTCATAGGTAATAAGGTAAGGTGATTCAAAAGGAAGGTTTTATGTATAATACAAGACCATGCGGGCGAAACCGCTGGCGGAAAGCTAGTATTGTATAAAATATTTTTTGTCCTATTCCCTTTTGGCCGGTTTTTCTCTTACATTGTTATTTATAAACAAGATTTAGCGTTGTAGTAAATTTACGCTGAGACTACACTTAAGTATTAGTCAAAATTCACATTATTAATTAGAGAATTAACAAAGGTTAACCATACTAGGTTCGTTCGAAGTTCAAAAGGTAGGTAAAAGAAAAGGTAAAAGGTAGTAGGTTTGTTTATTCTCTGTAAATTGACCATTGGTCTATAGGTAGGATCTAAGTACATTATTACTAGCAGTAATAATGTCTGTGCGGTCCAGGGATCTCAGTCTGTAGGTAATTCGTACGTAATGTGTTATATTAATGTACATTGCCCACATTTAGGTTTCTGAATAAACCTTAAAGTTATAATTTTGTTTCAAACAAGTTTTAATGATAATATATTTTTATGAGCAAACGAACCTTTAGTGTAGGTATTATTATAATTAAAAATAATAGTAGTATCGAAGGTGACCTGCTACGCAAACCTTTTTGGCATTTTTATTTTCTAAATTCTCAGTTTTTAAATAAATGACATTGATACTTTTCGAACTTACGAAAACAAACGTGTGACTTCAGGAAAAATACAAACACACAGCTACGGCTGTGACGGTGTGTTTCTGTGATTTCTTTGAAATTACCTGGTAACCAAATCTCTATCTTTTTTAACAGTCACAGACAAATATGTTTAGGATCTTTAATAATTTGGATGAAAAAAAAGTCGTAATGAATCAAAAGAGGCATTATAAAACTTGCATTATTATACCAAGTGAAATTTTTAAATAAAATGTTTATGAAGATTAACATAACATTGGATTTTATAGACTTAAAAGTCAAATAAAATGTTTCCGTAAGAAACATAATATTAAAACAATATAGGTAACTGAAGATTTAGTGCATTTTTCATTGATTTTATATTGCAATTTATACCAATAACTTTCCTCTAATGGCTTTGCTCGTGTAGTTCTGTATTATACATGAGAACCGCATAAAAATTCGTTGTGTAGTTTAAAAGATCTCGTACATACAGCGGGGAGCGTCTTTTTATATTGTGTTTATGATAAGCAACAAAAATAATTAAAGGAGAATTTGGATTAGTTATAATAAGGGGCCGTCTATTAAGAGGGAGAGGGATTAGTCAAAAATCACGAAATATCACAAAGGGGGGGGGGTGTAGTAATATATCACGTGTATTTATTTTTTGCTCGACGCGCGACTATTTAACCGAAAAGCGACGTCAAAAATTAAGATTTTTTGTTGGTTTAAAAAAATACACGTGATTTGGTTGAAGGAGGGAGGGGTCAAAAAATGTAAAAAAAAACACATCAGGTGATTAATGGACGGCCCCTAAGGCTATTTGCAATTGCTATCGAGACTTTAATGATCTCGGGAAATTAAGTGTCGAGTCACTGCTTAATTTTGATACTAAGTTTTATAAACTCTTAATAAAAAGACTTGTAAAAGACAATGTTACCGAGTAAGGATAACGAAAATTTATAATATTCAGATTTTATTCATAGCTTTTGGGCCTTTTAATTAGTATCTCTGTATTAACGCTGAATTATTTGACAAAGGCGCTTCGTAGAAATTCGGGTTGTCTCATCACAAAGATTTCATCAAAACGAAAAGATACGGCATTTGCTCATGAATAATTTCGATCGAGACACAAATAACACGCGCTTTTAGAATTAATATCCGACAATTTTAGTAGTACAAATGCTTTATTGTGATTTTGAAAATGCAAAATAAATTTATGAACTAAAAGTAAATGTAACGAAATGGATTGTTAATAACAAAGTATGATAATGTCGTATTTTTAGCTTTTATTTTAACATTCTATATTTTTATCAAACAACCGAAAATCTGTAGTATTCTTACACGAATACATACAAATCAGCTAATATATGCAATACATGCTAATAGTTATATATATCTAACGTAAAATAAATAATCGTATCAGACAAAATAAATACTATATAAAAAATCTAACAATGTTATATTTAAACAAGGTTAAGCGTTGGTGTAAATTTACTCAGAGACTATACTTAGTATTAGTCAAAATTTATATTATTAAACAGAGACTCAGCTAGTACGAGTACTCGCGATTCTTCGGGAGTAATATTTATTTACTCATAGAATGTAGAGAGATTGTTTATTCTCTGTATAATATGATTTTCAAATAATACTAAAATTACAGTTTGAATGTAAAACGTAAAGCATTGTAAGACATTAATGTAAAGAAAAATACATTGAATTATAAAATTAAATAGTAAAAAAATTGTATTGTAAATTAACACAATTTGATAAACCGTTTTATTGACAGAACTCATTATAGTTCTATTTGAATTTTACAAAAATTTTAACTACACATAAAAATAATAATAATTACAATTTTGAAGATTAAAAAAACTAAAACGTCGGCTTTAATTAATATCTTCTTTATTTTAAAGATATTTATCAAGGAGATATACACTATATTTAACAAAACCCATCCTATTGTCAAACAAATTTAAAGTTTCATTTGTTTTCCTAAAACTTGCAAGGGAAAGGAGAAGTTATAGCATTTCAAGGAAAATAAATGTTTGAGAGCTAGCTTAGTAGTATTGATTTCTTATATTTTCACGTGCACTCTCCATAACGGAAACAACTTTAAAACGGTTTCATCGCGTTTGTATTTAGTTTTCTATTGACGTTTCGGACCCTTTACAGGTTCAGTATTCATATACGACTGCTATTGTTATATATTTGGTTATTTTCAAGTCTGATAATCATAAAAATAAAATAGTTATTAACGGTTTAATTGGGCGGCTAGCCATTTTATTTAAATGGCGCCATTCAAGTGCAAGTCTAGTTTTCTGGTACAAATCACCTCCAATAGATGCAGATGAAATACGGTAATCTGTAGCCAAGCATCTATGATTTTGCATAGATCGTTTTAACAAAAGAAATATACACATATGCGAATACTCAGTTTCGATCAAGTGTTCATTCAGTATATATATGCTTTGGCGATAAGACTTTTCTTTATAATAAAGTAGTTATTTAGTTTACCATGGCAGGTTGTAGGGTCATATGGTGTAGAAAAAATCCAGAACATCTAATTGCAAGAAAGATGGTATAACTTTTCACCAGTAAGATAAATTTTATTTGTGTTTTTATCTCGCAGAGTTCAAGTTATGGTGGACAATTAAAGGTAACTTTATAAGAATGCAGCACAAACCCATCCCTTTCACTCGTTACTAAATTAGTATATTCATTTCATTCTGACAAAGATACGTCTAATACTAGTGCATGCTTTTTCTAGGTATGATCGATATCAATATTTCCATACGTAAACATTGATTGGTATAATTATATTTGATCAATTTCGCATTTACAATGATATACTGAAAAATATTCTTCATAAAAATTCTTTAAAAAAAGAACTCATCATCAAAACCAATTGGATTTTATAAACATTTTTTATTAAAAATATTGCAGTTGTTACTATTACAGAAAAAATTTATACTATAATATTATATTATAAATTAAACCCGTTTTTGAAAATTCAAAAGAATATATTTATATGAGCGCGGTGGCTTAACACTAATTTTTATGTATGTTTTGTTTCTCAGTGAATTTTATCATAGCTTTAAATTAGAAAATGTAGCAGTTAAACCAGTGCTACAAGAAATGTAAAAATGGTGGTTTTAGTACACTTTTTGGTTGGGATTGAATATATATTTAAAAAGTGATATTGTTCTCCCATTTTTAATTAAAACTTATTTAAACGTATTTCTTTGTACAAAATCGATTTTCGAAAGTTAAAACAAATTAAATAGTGTAGTGCTTACACTATGTACACTATTTAATTTTTTTACTTCTAATCCTACCAAAAAGTTTTAGTATTACCGATGAATTGACAGTTGATTTAATTAATTGGCTGACCTACGTTCAGCCGTATTGTATAAAGTCGCGTTTAGCTACTCGAATGTTCGAACGTCAGTCCATTAATTAAATAAATAATAAAACAAAGGTAACACAGTGATTAGTGATTAAAAATAAAACACCGGCTGATCTAAAGAGTTTTGTATTAACAATAACGATGAATTCAAACTTGTGCAATATATATCAACTTTAGAAAAAAAATTACTGATTCAAAATTTATATAACGTCTTTAATTCAGCAAAATTATGATTATTACGAATACGAACTAATGCTTATAAATGGAAGAGTAGGTTTTTAATAAGTAGGTATATTATAATATGATTTGAACTATAATACCCAAACATGTGAGGTATGATTTTTTTTTATGACGACCACCATCTCAATTTGGTGCACACAGAACATGTCTTTACATGACCTGATACGTTTGTAAATAAAATAAATATAAAACCGGCCAAGGAGCCTTTCGTTGTATGAATAGTGTATAAAAATATAAGAAACAAGTAAATATAAATTAATTTAAAAAGTTAAC